ATGCTAACATACATAATATAAAGTTTCTTCTATACAGATGGCTTCCTCTTTCCTGTATGTCACAATTTTTTGTTTGTTCTCATAATGAGCATTTTCTAATTAAATACTAAAATTTGGCTATAAATGGTAGTGTTTCTAGATTTATTGCCCTAATGCACTTGTGTTATTAGTAGGTTCGATTTGAGGACTTCTGGGTTTAGCACAGTGCTTGCATTGGGCAAATCATTCACTTTAACTTTCTCCCACCAATATATGCAGAAACAAAATTTTCTAACAATTACATCATTTCATTCTCTCTTCTAGTTCTAGACTTTCTGTGTGCAGCGCTAATGACCCTGTATTAAAATGAGTTGCAAGCAGATTGCTAGCCACTCAAAGCAGCACACTAATATTATTTATTTATGTATCCTTAATACCTAGCTTAGTGCCTGACACTTAACCTAAGGATACTTGTTATACTTATGAAAATAACAAGTGAAATAATTAAAAGTCAGAATCCATTTAATAGTAAGTAAATAGTTCATACAATATTGCAAAATATATGGGCCATTTATTTAAGCAAGGACTCTGATACAAACTCAGTTCAATTTCAACTAAATATATCAAGTGCCCATAATAAATACTCAACCATGATTATAATAGACTTTGTTACAAAGACAAGAAAGGAACAACATTTCAGAAAGAAAGAATCAATATTGATTGAAGTGAAGCTTAACATGTGAAAAGTAAAGTTTATATATTAATCATAGTTTGTTCTCTGATTAGAATTATTGAATTATGAACGTGCATAGATAGATAGATAGATAGATAGATAGATAGATAGATAGATAGATAGATAGATAGATAGATAGATAGATAATATGAAGAATGGGGTATATGATAGGCCAATCTGTAACTAAGACTCACTTCTGTTTTAGACTTACTCTTACCTCTAATGGCATGTGTTATCTTGGGAAACTTTAAACAACTATTGCCAGGTGTGGATTTAGCAGACCAAAAATTGAAACATAGCAGGAATGTTTATATTACCTTACAGAAGTGCTATGGGGATCAAATAAATTCATGAACTACAGAGAGCTGTAGAAATAGTAGAGGTGATATTCATAGAAGACCTTCATGTCTGTGACCAACACCTGACAGTCAGTTTAAAGGAGGAAGAATATACTTTGGCACCACTTTCTGGTGTGCCATCAGTTAGCTATCCCATTTGTGGAAGGTAGTGAGGCACCACATGGTGACAGGGAAGACACAGAAGAGCAAAGTTGGTCATCTCATGGTGGCCAGTGAGAAGGGGTTGGGCATGACAAGATACAGCCCCCAAGGGGGTGCCTCAGTGACACCGTTCTTCCTGCTGGGTTCAACATCATAGAGTTTCTATAATCTTCCCAAACGGCAGCATTAGCTGGAAAACAAGGCTTCAGTACATGAAACTTTTGAAGAGATACTTCATATCCTAACTGTTAAATGAGAGCATGCAAATAAATCACACCTTCCAACAATTCCCTTAATATCTAAACTCTCACGCAAATGACCTAACATACACATTCTCTCACACAGCACCAGTAACAAAGCTGACATGACTTTTACGCATTTTAAATAAGTCATTTTTGAAGCAAAGCTCTGCATGTGCCCACTGACTATATGTCTTTTACTAATTTTATCTTTCCTGCCCCCTTCTTTCCTCCCTCTTGTACCAAGAAATCTGTACTCATCAATATGTTTTGTTCCTCTTATTGTCAGGTGTGCCGAAGTCATTTTCTCCTCTAATGTTTCAGAGAATGTAAAACACACCAAGCAAAACTTTTCTCTGGAGAAGCTGCAAAATCAATGCTGCGAAGATCATAGCAGAGAAATTTTGAGATCTGTGATAATCTTTTTATAACTTTTTCCCTAACAGACACATTTTTGTAATATCTCAACCCTTGATTTTATATCACAGGCTAAAGAGTACTTGCTTATAAGTTTGTCAAGGCTATTTTCCTGATTAGGGTTCAAAAATATTGATCAAATGTTAGTCTCAGTTCCCTCAAAATAATGATTCTTTTTCTGGTTTTAAGGAATTCATTGTTGTAAATATGTGAGCACATGATAAATAAGGTAAACAATTCTACAGCAGGGAAAAGCAATTTTAAGTGTGTTTCCATGGTTGGTACCTCTATTCTGTTCACTTTTTCTAGCTAACTTTATATGAGAGAAGTCTAAAAGATGGACAGGAAGATGATAGGACTTACCTACTCACATGGCGATCCTTGCACACAATCTTTAACTTCCTGAAGATGTATTAAGCACCTGCTTTTACTCTGCTAATAGTCAGCATGACGGTGGATCAACAGACAGGAATGAAGCCCCTGACTTCCTAATACTTCAGACTTTTTCAGGTTGATGTGCCACTGTTTAAATACATCATATCTCTTGATCACCCTTCGTCATCCCTCAACACATCAGTTGACTCAACGCCACACAAAGTTAGTGAAATAATACTACTTTGTGAATTCTTTTATGGCTTCCTAAATAAATTTGTCCATTTTGCTCTTCTATTTTTAAGAATACCCTTGACCCAAACAATAATGCCTTACACAGGCCTTTTGCAGGGTTTTCTTGTTGTTTTTGTACTTCTTGTCATTTTGCCTGACTTCCCCCATTGAACTAAGAATAACATGAAAAATGGTTCCTGCATTACTCATTATTGTAGCCCCAGAACCAGATAATTACTTGGCACATAGTGCTTGAGAAATGTACATAGAGTATATAAATAACATTATAGGCATTTTCTGATGAACAAAAGAATTGAACAAAAATGGTACTAAATGAATAGAGATATTTGTAATGCACAAGGGTAGAAAAATAAGATAAAGGAACATGAGTATGCCAAGATATTGGGGGGATGATTATTAGAAAAAAACAATGAAGACATGAAAATAGCCCACACATTAGCAAGCAATACAGGTATTGTGGATAAATTATAGGAGCCAGAACCAAATGACTCATTGTCCATGACTCATCCAACTGGGAGGTTCTGGGGCTGCTTAGGCTTGCCCACTCATTTGCTGCACTCCAGCTGTCTCCAGTACTGAGTCTGAAAGTATGTAAAGCATGTAGAACCCCAGTGGGTTGTTCACTTATTGGTAAGTGTTGAACAGGGTAGGAGGGGTGCCAAACACTTAAGGAATGGGGATAAGAATTGATCACCCCTCAATAAAGATTGTGTTTACTCCTGATCCCAAGACATCTCCCATCTTAGCAAAAAAAAAATAATGTGATAACCATGTGAGCAAAGTATGTGAATCAAAGGATGCATCCTGAGAATAGCAAAAGGAGATATGGAACCAAATGGTCTCTAAAAAAGAAAATTCAATTCTTTTGCCCAAGGAAATCTCTACCATGTCTTTCAAAATATAATGGAGCTCCCAACTGGGTAAGACTACCAGTAACTTTTCCTCCGACAGACTATATAGGACCTTCCATTAGTATGAAAGCTAACCAACAGGCAGGAAGCTTCTAGGTCAGTACCTACTTGATTGCTCCATGTCCTGTGACCAATGTGTATGCTGTTTTTCATAAAAGGGTCTTACCACCAAGGTCTAATGGACAACCAAAAGTAATGGCTACAGCTTGTTTTGGTAGCCTTTGGACCTCATCAGAGAAGTTTCTTTGTGCAGTGTATAATGATTAATGCAGAAACTACCAACAGATCTAAGTGTTAAAAAAAATGAGTGTCTAGGGATTGCTCATCCAACAAATGGGATATCTAATCACACACCCTTTACAAGGCTCAGGGACCATCACAGAAGAGCAGGTGGGAAGACTGTAAGAACCAGAGGTTATGGAGGATTGGAGCAAAACAGTGTCCTCATGAACTCATAGTAGCGATGTTTTCTTGCAAGAAAATATTGCAAGTCAACATTCTTGCATGAAGTGGGAAGAGGTCCGTGAGCTGACGTCCCTAACTGAGTATCTATGGACTATTGGTGGCTTTTGGTAGAGAGAGAACCAATTTTCTTAAAGGCAGATTAGCAACACTCCATCTGTTGCCCACCCCCATGTAGAATTATATGGACAAATTATATAGCAAGTCAACATTCTTGCATGAAGTGGGAAGAGGTCCATGCGCTGACGTCCCTAACTGAGGATCTATTATAATTGATGGGTCATTAAATAAAAACAAAAGATAGATGAAAAGTTAGGGGTATAGGGAGTTGGGGTGGAACTTTGAAAAATTTGGAGTAAATGGGATCAAAGTGCACTGTATTACATTCTCATAGAATTAGTAAAAAAATATTTTAGATTAATATATCAGATAAACACATCCATATTTACACAGAAAATTTAGTGAATTGTTGAAGAGAGCTCAAAAACATTCTGATACTCCAAGCATCCCAAAGTAATTATGAAACTCAGGTGAGATTCCTAAGAGGCCATCAGAAAGTTTTAATCAATAACTCTGACATCAGATATTATGCCATTGTACTGGCATGGCTTGACACAGATGACATAGAGGACCCTCTACATCCAGCCTGGACGTTCTCATGTAGCTATCTAGAGAACAAAGAAAGCCACAGACCACCTATGAGATGCTCAGCCCAATTTCTGTGAGTCAGAATAGAAAATAAGGACTAGGAATTGATTTGGGTATATAGTAACCATGGGTGTCACAAAGTTGGTAAAAATGTAGTTGCTTTCACATCTATGTCTCTTGAAAATGTTTCTAGCTCTTTTCTGAGTAGACATAAACAAATTCAAGTGGGAATATCTACAACACAAATATTCCCCAAGTTCTCCCTATTGAGAATTAAAAATAATATACTATGATCCTAGTAATTTTAATATAAATACCTGGAGAAATATGAAGCTTGCACAGTGTGCTTCAAGAATGAAATTTAATAGCGTTTAACTTGAACTCTAGAATCAGAACAACCTGTATCTAAGAAAGCAATTTCAGTTTCATTTCAGCTGTTATGCAAAAACTAAAAACAAACATTTCTATAGGTTGAAAAGAGTCATTATGAAAAGTATAAGAATAAAAATGTAGCTACAGAGAAGCTTCCTCAGGATGTTTTCTTTACTGCATAGCCTGTGAAAATAAGGTGTTTTTGCTTTGATCATATAGGAAAATAGAAATAGACATAGAAATTGATAATATTTAAGCTATTAGTATAACTAAATAATGAAATATGGACTCTTTTTTGCAAAGACCTTTACCTCTCAGTCAATACAGATCAAGCAAACCCTTTCTAAAATGGCTACATTGTTAACTCATCTGAATGAAGGCCTTCTCTCTTGAGCATGAAAGAGGAAATGAAAGCTGTTGGCCCTGCAGTTCACTATCCTTAGACCCCTTTCTGCCAAGGTACACTTGTCTCTTCTCTACATCCACACCAGACAGAGAGGTCTTGACTGCTTGAGAGTCTATGAGAAGTAGAAACCAAAAGAGGTTTCCAAACCAAAGCTAGCCAGAACTTAAACAAATGAGCTTAATCCAACAGAAGATGATTCTTGGACCTGAGATCCAAACATTGGAGCCAAAATTCTGTTTTCTGACACAATAAAATAAAGGCATTTCTACTCTCTGACATTATATCTATAAACACTGTATTTGATGAGCAGAGGGATCGTGGCTTATTGGTGAATAGACATACTGGGCTGAAGATTTCCTCACAGAAATTTCAAATCTGTTAAGAAGTGTTTCTGCCCACAGCTCTGCATAGAGCATCCTTGACCTCTTTGTTCCTGAGGCTGTAGACAACAGGGTTCAGCAGGGGAGTGATGATGGTGTATGTCACAGAGAGAAGAAGATCTTTTTCTACTGAACTTTCTGACTTGGGTTTGAGATAGGCAATAGAGGCACAGCCATAATGAACAATGACCACAGTGAGATGAGAGGCACAGGTGGCAAAGGCTTTCTTCTGGCCTTCAGCTGAGGCAATTTTAAGGATGGAAGAGATGATGAGGACATAGGAGATAAATATCAGCCCTATAGGCACAAGAATCACAAATGAACTTACACCATAATTGATGATCTCATTGAGAGTGGTATCAACACAAGAAAGTTTCATTACTGGATATATGTCACAGAAAAAGTGTTCCACCACTGTGCCACAGAAGGGCAAACTGAACATGGCTGGCACATGGAGAACTGCCATAACCAGACCAGTGCCCAAAGATCCACAAACCAACCAGGCACACATTCCTTTGCTCATGACGACCATGTATCTCAGGGGATCGCAAATGGCCACATAACGGTCATAACCCATGGCTGTTAGCAGAAAGCAGTTGTTCGTGGCCAAGGTGACAAAAAAGAACATTTGGGTTGCACAACCTGCCAAGGATATGGGAAGATTGTGGAAAATCAGGCTGGAGAGCATTCTTGGGACAATGACTAGCGTGTACACAGTCTCTGAGCTTGCCAACATGCTGAGGAAAAAGTACATGGGAGTGTGGAGGTGATGGTCCATGAGCGTGATCGTCATGATGATGACATTGCCAGTCAGAGTTAAAATATAGATGCTTAGGAAAACCACAAAGAGGGTTATTTGATGCCTTCCAAAGCTAGAGAATCCCAAGAAGATGAATTCTGTCACTTCAGTGAAGTTCTTTCTCTGCATTCTGCTGTAGTAGTGTCTAAAAGCAATAAGAAGGGTCATCAAAGGGAAACTTTCATAAGCAATTGAACTTAAAGTAAGGAATAATGATAGCTGGACTGAGAGAGTGAACCTACTTGCCTCTTCTTTGACCATCAAGTTCACGTCTAGAGTATTTGTCCTTAAAGTAAGAAATGTTTGCGTGCCTCTTTGGCTTTTATGAGTATAAACATTATCAAGAAGAATTGCGAGTACATGCTCACTTCACAAAATATAGTGATGTTAGGAAATGAAAGGGGGAGGACAGAGATAGTCATGTTCTGTTTCCCATTTCAACACTCTTAAATAAAAGAATTAACACCAGTAAAGGACATACCAAGAAAATGATAGAGATGGATGTTTATAGACAAAATCAGTCCGCAGTATGAAGCATTTGAGGAAGATGACTTTGAAGAAAATGATTGCTAGGTTCAGTGACAAAGCCACCAAGACCCTTTTCACACAATGTTACAGCTGAATTCTGAGTGTAAAGGTTTGATTTTATCAAGAAAATATATGCCAGATCTATCATACTCTCAAAGAGGAACAACTACAAAATGGCTTCTACAACATTGAGTCCATTAAAATTGACCTTCCAAAGCTCAACCAAAGAAGTCCTTATTTGCTGAATGCAGTAGTCTTTGGGGAAAAGTCAAGAAAATACCTGTGGTTAATAAAAAAAAAATACTTTCCACTGTAATCACAAAATATATTTAAGACAATGTGAGGTATAGAGAAAAGAACATAAACTCCATAGTTGAGAGGGAAAGAGTGGGTTAAATATTTGGAGCTGAGCTGATGCCTATTTTGAAAATCACCAAACAGACAATTAGATATAATTATGAGATTCAGAGAATACTAACCTCTTGTTAAAAAGAGAGAGTATGTGGGATGGAGATTTGGTTGCTTGTCATGCATGAGGACTTGTATTCAATCTCCAAAACTGTGTGGAGCAGTCATGATGGCATACATGGAGGCAGAGGCATAAGGGTAGGAAGTTTATGATCGTCCTCAGCTATACTATGAGCTCAAGGCCAACAGCCTGGAATGAGAGGGGCAGAAACAGACAGACAGAGACAGAGAAATGGAGATAGATAGACAGAAGGGGAGAGAGAAGATATAACCTGTAGAGCAGGTATAAATCGTGGCTATTTCATTATTGCTCTTCCATTTCCAGAGCTGCTGAATAGACTTCCTTTCTCACAATCTCTAATTCTTTGCCTGTTGGTGTCACGTGTTCAGTGCTTATGAAACCATTTGTTCAGATGTCACTGGAGAATGTTCCATTGCTAAAGAAGTCAGATTTTGTTTTTCTTTCTTTCCTTGTCCTTTGGTTTGACACATATGATCCTGCCTCGTGAAAACACTCTCTAGCCTTGGTTTCCATGACACCATACTATGTTTCTGTCATCTCAGTGCTTATTTAGTTACTGTTCATGAATCTGTTCATTCTGCCTAAACCATGACTACATCCCTGCTCCCTGACCCAACCTTTGCCCTTGCTTTTTCTATCTGTTAGTCTAATTTCAATTTTCTCTGTTGTTCCTATGTTGATTTCTTTCATTTATCTATTTCTATCAACAATACTTTTCTAAATATCCAACATCTCTCTTGACTTTTGTATGTCATGAAATCATAAACTTTATATAATTTTGAACAAATTTTATATCATCCATTCTCCACTTGTTTTCATTCTTCCCTGCTTCATTTAATACTTCTGTCCACTGCCCCATGAAAACACAGAAAAATGTAATGCAGAATTCAAAAATAGACCATTTATATGGTTAACTATTTTTTTCTAAAGGGCTAAGGTGTCCCAATGATACATTTTCAACAAACTGCTTGTTCAGTTGCTCCTGGAACAAGAAAATACTCATGAGGGGAAAACAAACCTCAAATTTTACCTTATGACATATGCAGAAGTTATTCTAAATGAATCATAGGCATGTATAAAAGACAAAGTTTTAAGAAATTCTAGGCAAAAGTAAGAGATGAAAATTTGTGACCCTCAAATAAGGAAAAGGTTCTTAGTGAAGTAACAAAAGGCTTAAACTGAAACAGAACAAATTACAGCTTAAGCTTCACCATTGTTAGAAAAACAAAGAGATAAACCATACCCTAGCAGAAAGCATTTGCAATATAAAACTCTGAAATTATATCCAGAATATATAAAGAACTTTGCATGTCAATAATAAGTCACATTTTAAATAGGCAAAATATTTAAACATTTTACAAAAGATTACATAAGAGTCCTAATAATTATATGAAAGGATTTTGAGCAACATTATCCATTGGAGAGATGCAAAATAAAACCACAGTGAGATACACACCTACTCAAGTGGCTAAAATTAAAATGCCTAACAACACCCAATGTGGTAACCAAGTAAAAGAACTGGAAATCTTAAATGTTGATGGTTGGAATGTGAAGTGCTGTAGCCTATTTGGAGAACAATGTGGCAATTTTTCTGAAGTTAAACCTATGCAACATCCATGACTCAGTAATTTTTTTCTGAGCATTTAAACAAGAGAAATAAAAAAATGTGTCCACAAAGAGTTATTTATATTTAGATGTTTTAAGAGTCATTTTCCTAAAAGTCCAAAGCTGCAAACAATGCAAATGTCTAAATTATAATATAACTATATAAGGAAATATTCTCAGCAATATAATTAAAAGTGAAAACAGGGTCTGGAGAATTGCCCTGGTAGATGAAAGCACTTGTTTCTTGTGCAGAGGAACTGAGTTCAATCCTAGGACCTATAAATCTGAAAACTTATTAAAATATAAAAATTGATGAACTATGTATTGTTTTCTGTGTTAGACTCTGTTGCGTTACATTGTATAGATAGCATCATTTTGGGTCATACAACATTGTAAAAATGGCATGTTGTTTGTCTTTAGGATTCTGTGCATGCTAAGCAAATACTCTACTACTGAACTACACCTCAACCCCCTTGCATCATATCATAGTGTAATATTTTACAGTATATTTCCCAAAAGTTGGTATTTAAAAATATTCTCATTTGACTTAGCAAGATTAACTCACAGGGAGTAAGACTGGAGAGGAACACTGTAGTATAAGAAACATTGGAACTAGATAGCACTTGGAAAACCTGGATCTGGATTTGGAAACTCATGGATGTCAAAACATGAGGTTAGGGCAGCTCTTGTGTTTTTGTACACAGTGACTTCAGACAAAGAGCTGGAATTTGAGACAAAGTGTCTGAGTTCAAATATACTAGTCATACGCTGCTTTTGTGATCTGAGAAAGACCTCTCTGCTCGATTAATAAGGGTTATTTCATCATTCTCCCAAAGTCAGTGTGCCTTTATACCATCTCCTCTGCTACAGGAAGATAATCTTCTTCAGTGCATAGGGACAGTCCAACATCCATTACCAAATCTGTGCCTATATCCCTATCTTTAATTCTTACCTAGGATGTCCTTTATTTCTTGCAGCCCTTTCAAGTACTAGGTCCTTAGTACTTGGAAGAATACCCCCAACCCTTCCCAGTACACATCTAGATCATGAGTAAAATTATATTCTCATTCTTGGATTTAAAACTGGAGAATTCAAGACCTATCAAGCTAGAAAGCATCTACTTTTAATTTTTAGAATTGTCTCATATAAGCATTTTAGGACTCGGCTCATTGCCTACCACATCCATGAAGTCCTGTCATAACAACTCATTTCCCCATCCCCAACCCTTTCATAAAGATTGCACCCACTGGAGTGCTGGAGCCTGTTTGCAACACCTCGCCACAGCAGGTTGCACACATCATTTCCCAGCTCCATATTTAAAAAAATCATGTTTGCTAGATTTAAATCTATGGAGAAATATTTTTATCCCAGGAACTAACAAATATTAAAATCAAGCCTTGTTTATTTCCTTAGAGTTGCTTGTTAATATTTACTGTTCACTACTTATTGTGGTTTAATTCACGCTGTTTTGGACAATGTTGTCTGTTGTCTCCTTCGAGGTAGTCCTACTCCAAGTCAGAGTGTAAACTCTCTAAGTATATGCTAAGATTTCTACATCAGACTCAAGGAAGCACTCAATAAGTACTCCCTGGCTGAATAATCAAGAATTTTCAGTACAATGTAATTTAGCTGCTTGACAAAGGGACAGAGGTGCTACCCATAAAAATGGTGGGACCTAAAATGAGAGACGCCTTTATGCAGCATCCTGGAATAAAATGCCTTTACTTTCTCCATCCTCCTTCACATCTTCCTGCAGGGAACCAAATGACACTGCAAATTGAGAACATCTTTGGGAAGGAAGGAGAGTGGTTCAAGAAAGAGAGGCTAGTCAACTCAGAGTTTCCACTGAGGGAACAGTGAAGATGGCAAACGGCAGTGACCCAGATGACAGGGATGATCAGAGGTAATTAGGTTTTCATTGGCGGGATGTTTCAGCCTTTGCTTCTGCTTTGTGTTTAATGCATCTACTGTCCAAGTCAAGAGCTTAGAGGTAAGGAAAGTATTAGCAAGTCATTTGTGTGTTTCCATATTACTATCACTCCTGAGGCCTCTGTATTTTGTTGTTGTCTCGATTCCAAACTCATCAGTTCTTTGATCAATTGCCTATGTCAATCCCCAAATATAACACCCAGGTAACTGTGTAACTCTGAGAAACATACTTATTCTTGCCAACTTTTAGTCCCATATGTCAGTTTTGTAACAGTGGGACTAATGTCAAAGAAATGATAATTGATGTCTTAAAATTATCTTCAGTGAGGATTTGTAACAAAGAGAAGACATTCAGAAATTTCTAAAAGATTAATGAAAAAACAAACAAACTAAAAAGATAGTATGAAATGATGAAAGTTGAGAAGGAAAAAAGAGGACGGTTCGAATGGATTAACCTATCAAAAAAAATAACACTGAAAAAGACTAATGAAATGGAAAGTTTATGCAGCCAAGATTTTGGTTATGAAGACTGTGTCCAATAATATAGGAAATAGAAACATTTGAAAATAGAAAGATTTATTATAAAATGTATTAGTGCATGTTAGAAATTGTATCTATTTTATAAATCTTAGTAAATGTGTGATACAATGGGAATTCTTTCTAAATCTACAACTTGGAACCACTTCCTGAAAATTTACACGATATGTAAATGATGACTGTAGAAGACAAAGAAAGAAAGTTCTAGAACTGCTCCTCCTGAGAACTGGAAATACAATTCTAAAATACCAGGGAAGCATAAAGCAACTTCTTTAAAAATCTGTGATTATTATATCAGTCTGAGTAATCTAAGGATGAGAATTCAGGATAGAAGATGAACATAGGGACTAATGTGTAAGGCTGTGATGTTAGGGATTGAGCCAAGCAAACATTTCTGTGATGTCTCATTTCAAGTCTTGACCAAGAATGGGCACAAGATCAATTGGGACTAGAACATACTATGAAGACGATATGGCATTCCCAACACCTCTTAGATCTGTTCTGACCACTCTGCAAAAACAACAACAAAAACAATGAAATAAAAAAATTCTTCAGGCCTCCTTAAGGATATACCTTACAGTTGCTCACCTCTCTCAAGATCCAGACAGTAGCTCAACTTCCAGAGTTGTGTTATATATGTGGTGTATAACACAACATACTCAGTTATTCGCAGGCTCTGAAAGTGCTGTTAATAGAAGGGAAAGAGTCTATGAGTTCAGAGATCAGGAGGGAAATCTCAGAAGGAAGCCTGATGTCTGCCCTGCCCTCCTGGGTCTCCTTTCTTCACATTTCCCTGAACATCTCAAGGGAACCAGAAGAGTGAGATTCCAAATAGATGCCAGGGGATTTTATTAAAAATGGGTATTTTTAGTTGCCTTGGTTGTTGATGCTTTGGGATCCCAGGTGCATTGCTTCCCAGGTGCATTCTCTTTCCTTCATTTGAAACTTGGCTGAAGATGTCAGGTATATGGTCCATGGATTTTTCTTTTCAGAAGACAGTGCACTCATTGACATGCTATTTCCAAAAAAGAAGACATTTATGGAATTAGTTCAATCTCAGCGGAATTGATTTTTCTTAGAAAATCATATTCTGAGTCCTACTTTTTAGTCTCCCAAGAGACTTTCAATGTGTTAGTCAAATTCCTGGCACCTAAAGCTCTCCATGCTTGCACAATGCCAACTCTCTTTGGATGGTGCAAGTTCCTCTGCACAATTATAATGGCTGTTCTTGGTTATCAAGTTCATCTGGAATTAAGTAAAATCTAAAACTGGAGGAGCACCTGTGAAGGGTTTTTGTTTGATGTGAAGTAGGAAGATACAGTTCTAACCCATAATTTGCGGTAGGAAAGACAAAGGCTTTTCATCTTGAGGTGGAATGATATATACCTCTAACTTGGACCACACCTTCTGCTGGAAACCTATATAAGGACATGGAAGAAGGAAGCTTTTGCTTTCGCTGCTCGCCCTCACCTTGCTATCAAGTCCTT